TGATGATGTTGCTGCTGCAGCAACACTTGCTGCTGCAGCTGTTGCTTCTGCTACAGACGCAGCAGCAACTGCTGCAACAGCACCAGCAGCAGCAGCACCACCAGCAGCAGCACCACCAGCAGCAGCACCTGCTGAAGCAGCACCAGCTGCAGCAGCACCAGCAGCAGCAGCACCTGCTGCAGCAGCAGCACTAGCAGCAGCAGCACGTGCTGCAGCAGCACCTGCTGCAGCAGCACCTGCTGCAGCTGATGATGCATGTCTTGCTTCTGGCTGTTCCCCCGCTGCAGCAGCGCCTCGACCTTCAACAGCAGCAGCACTAGCAGCACAAGCAGCAGCAGCAGCAGCAGCAGCAGCAGCAGCAGCAGCAGGGTTTGATGTGAGATATCTTTCTGCTTTTGTTTCTGCTGCAGCAGCAGCAGCAGCAAAACGGCGTCGCATGCGGCTGCTGCAGCTTTATTTAATACGCCATCTTTTTATTAATATTATCATCAACAGCAGTCCTGCTGCTGCTGCTGCTGCTCCTGCTGCTGCTGCTGCTGCTGCTCCTGCTCCTGCTGCTGCTCCTGCTGCTGCTGCTCCTGCTGCTGCTGCTCCTGCTGCTCCTGCTGCTGCTGCTGCTGCTCCTGCTGCTGCTGCTTCTGCTGCTGCTGCTTCTGGTGCTGCTGGTGCTGATGCTGATGTTGCCCCTGCTCCTGTTGCTTCACCTGCTGCTGCTGCTGTTGCTGCTGCTGCTGCTGTTTCAGCAACAGCAGTCGGTGGGGGGCCCCACCATCAAGAGGAGGTGGGGGCCCCCCTGGGGGCCCCCCTCGACCACAAGACAGGGGGCCCCCCAAGCGAACCCTTCGCTGGCGACCCTCGGGGGGCCCCCGTGGGGGCCCCCCTGGGGGCCCCTGAGGGAAAGGCCCCCGGGGGGCCCCCTTGGGGGGCCCCCAAGGAGCAGGTACTCAGGGGGCCCCCTCGGGGGGCCCCTGAGGAGGAAGTACTCGGGGGCCCCCCTCGGGGGGCCCCCAAGGAGGAGGTACTGGGGGGGCCCCCTCGGGGGGCCCCCAAGGAGGCCCTCGGGGGGCCCCCTCGGGGGGCCCCTGAGGAGGAGGCCCTTGGGGGGCCCCCGCGGGGGAGCCCTGAGGAGGGGCTACTGGGGGGTCCCCCCCCTCTGGGGGCCCCTGGGGAGGGGCCCCCTGGGGAGGGTACTGGGGGGGAGAAGCAGCAGCAGCAGAGACAAACAGCAGAAGCGGTGGGGTCGGTGCAGCAACGGCTGCTGCAGCAGTTGCTGCCGCAGCACCTGCAGCAGCAGCAGCCGCAGCAGCAGAAACAACAGAAGCAGCAGCAGCAGCAGCAGCAGCAGCAGGAGATAAATTTCTCCTTGCTGCTCACCCCCAAGCAGCAGCAGCAGGAGGAGGAGGAGGAGCAACAGCAGCAGCAGGAACAGCAACAGCAGCAACAGCAGCAACAACAACAGCAGCAACAGCAGCAACAGCAGCAGCAGCAGCAACAGCAGCAACAACCGCAGCAGCAGCAGCAGCAGCAACAGCAGCAGCAACAAAACGTCTCAGCAGCAGCAGGAGACAACGAAGAGGCAGCAAAGGAGACACCTCATTTAGCTGCTGGCGAGAGCAGCAATCCTCCTTCACTGCAGCAGCAGCAGCAGCAGCAGCAGCAGCAGCACCAGCAACAGCAGCAGCAGCAACAGCAGCAGCAGCAGCAGCAGCAGCAGCGGCAGCAGCAGCGGCAGCAGCAGTTCCCGCGTTTGTTTAAATCAGCTGCTGTTGAAGCTGCTGCTGCTGATTGGCTGCATGCAATCTGCTGCTGTCTGCTGCTGCAGCAGCAACGGCCCTCAACTGCAGCACAAGGAAATGCTGCGGTGCTGCAGGCGGTGCAGCAGCTAGACAAACTATGGCTGCAGCAGCAGCAGCAGCAGCAGCAGCAGCAGCAACAGCAGCAGCAACAACAGCAGCAGCAGCAGCAACAGCAGCAGCAGCAGCAACAGCAGCAACAGCAGCAGCAGCAAAAACAACCGAATTGCATCGTTCTGGGTGCTGCACGCAGCAGCACCAGCAGCAACTACACCTCTAACAACAGCAGCAGCAACAGCAACAGCAACAGCAACAACTTTACCAGCAGCAGCAGCAGCAGCAGCAGCAGCAGCAGCAGCAGCGGCAGCAGGGTTTCTGAGCTGCTGCCCCTTGAGGTTGGCTATGTCTTTGGGGGGCCCCCTCGCTCCCCCTTTAAATCCTTATATACAGGACAGACTGCAGCAGCAGCAGCAGCAGCAGCAGCAACAGCAGCAGCAGCAGCAGCAGCAAGAGCAGCAGAGGCAGCAGGAACAGAAGCAGAAACAGCAACAGCAGCAGCAGCAGATGCGCCTGGGGAAAACGCGATAGAAGCAGCAAAAGGAGAACCAGAAACAGCAGCAGCAGCAGCAGCAACAGCAACAGCAACAGCAGCAGCAGCACCAAACGCAACAGCACCGGAAGGAGCAGCAACAGCAGCAGCAGCGGCA